ATCTGCCAGTCTCAGTCACGCTCCCCAGGTATGGATAGTCCACAACTTACTAAATTCGCCGACCAGAGAAGCCTCCTGTGCGTTTGGTGCCCATTCTTGGTATTTGATCTCTCCATTGGGTTGTGCATGCAGTCCGAAGGTTTCGTAGCCCTGATAGGTGCATTAGTACAAAAGACACCCATCACTGAAGATAAATTCACCTTGCTGAACTTATCCAAGCCACCCTCTGTTTCATTGATGGTCTTGGCCCAGTCCTCGACTACCTGGTATCTGTGCTTCAAGACATCGCGATGGGGTTCCAACCAAGGATCTAGCTGGATAACACCTAATTTTGAATTAGAACTGGAACTCTGTATGAAAGTACCAGGATTTTCAAGCTTGCCTGTGCCATCGGTGGGAATTTTTGAGCTGTCAATGGTAGAAGACATGTCTGGTGGGGAGAGCTGGGGGAGAGGTGGAGAGAAGATGGGGAGGTCCAGATCAAGGAAATCCAGCGGGGGAACATGTGACATCAACCCCTCTACGCTTAGTCCTTGGTTTTTTAAAAACTGGGTTTTCCCAGTGGGGTTTTGTGCTTAGCTTTTCCTCCACTATGTCAATCCTTTCACTAATTGCATCACCTTCAGGGCTTGGATTTCGGACTTCTTCAAGCGTCAGTGGGGATGTGGAGCAACGGGAACGGATCCGCAGGGAGCTGTTTTTCAGGTACAATGTGACATGTCTAACCTCTATTTAGCTCTTCTTTTTAGACAACAGATCGGGGACTTGATTCATTCCGCCTCAGAGGCCTCCTAAATCTGGGTCAGTATAGGAGGAGTTGGGGTACAACTCCAAAACGCAAAGCTCCATGTGGCAAATCTCGAACTGTCTTGGAAGCCATCCATGTAGCTACTCGGAGGACGCTTTGCTGTTGATCGTATTCTCTCACCGAGAGAGCAAGTCCAAAGCTACACAAAATTGTGCAGGGATCCGTTCAGGTACAAGATCGGATCTAAAAGTCTGTCCATGTTGGACAGCCTCTACTTGGCAAGGACTACGATTTTCTGTACCGTCGGGGATCTTGTCATAGGTACAGAATCCGTCGAGATGGTATTTCACCGTCGTCTCTATTTATGTCGATCGCTTGAGAACGGTTTACAATCCACCATCGCGGGCACATTTCCTACCAAGTCCCCGTGCACCCCAACGAGAGAATTAATAGCAGGTGACGCTGAACTGTTACTTTTCTGTGATAATCTCTCTACACAAATGCAAGGCAAGGGGATGGTTAGGGTTAAGGGTGGAATCGATAGATTGATAATGAAAGGAACTCATAGCTGCTTCTCTAAGCAGCCCAGGTACAAACGCTCTAAAAGCCGTCAAGATAACTTGATCAAGAAAGTGCTGATATGGATACTTCCTATGAAGCGTATCCTGCCAGAGGTAAATCACGGAAATTTGCTCTTCCTCTTCTCCCTCTTCTCCCTCTTTGTCAAGTCTCGCGGGTTTCGATATCATCGTCACTCCCGAGCCTGGCCAGATAAAGGTCTACAATGACGCCAAACTAGTAGAGATGGCCGAGGAGTACTGACTGGCATTGCAGTCTGAGCCGCAGCCTGGCTATGAACTTGTGCTGCGACGATCAGCGCAGGTGCATAGCATTCCCCCCGAGTGAACCCCTTTTTTTTTTCGGGGATGAACAGGATCGGAGAGGATACTTGCTTGAGGCAATTCGGAATGAACGCCCTGAGCAAGATTCTAGAATTATCTAGATCGTCCCCCTAACATGGCCAGAGACCTCCGTTAGTGACCAGCTCAACACGATCGACGAAGCCTCGAAAGTCACTATTTTTGGTGATCGCGATGTCAACCCAGGAAGGGGATTCTCATTGAAAAAAAAAGACTATCCTTGCCCACGGCAGAGAAATGAACCTATGGTCGGCCCGACGTGTTTTGAACTCGATGTACGGCAACATTCATCTCTTTCCCTATCAGAGATGATCGGAAAGACCAGATTCAATCCCAGGCCAACCTCGATCCATTCTAACCTGATATTTTCACACAGTCTACCACGACAGTTCCTGGTGGGCTAATAACCATCAGGGCCCTCAGGAACAGGAAAAACAAGTCCAGTTGTTTCAGTCGTGTTTTTAGCTTAATAGCCACCAGCAGAGATAGGGGGTGCAATATATTAGATGCAATCGTTTAAGAATTAAACCCAAAAACAAAACAAGTGTACAGAAATATAGTAAAACTTTACTCCGACTCATCTTAGTATAGCTCCGCAAGGGCAACCACTCTCTGTAAAACCAATTGTAAAGACGGGACCCGAGTAGGCGAAGCCCACATCCTTCGGAGCAACAATGCAAAATTGGAACGGACGATATGGTCTCTTAGGGACTCGTTCACGAGTGGGTATTCTGAAATCTTCCGAAAGCTCAAAAAATCGTCAAGTTCCAGTTCACGATGCAGTGTCACACTGTCAATCTGGTACATGCCTCCGCCCAACTTGCGGAAAATGGACTGCCAGCATCCAAGCTCCAGTTGTACAAAAGAGAAAGTCGCACGGCAAAGGGTGCTTTGGATGCTGTAAAGAAAGATCGCCAAAGCAGCCGATGATTGGAATGACATCCGTGAGAATGTCAATTCTTGTAGTTCCGGCAGGCACTCAACCGACGAAATCTGGGCGAGGAAGTAAAGTTGCTTCGCACCTCCAGCTGAAGAGGATCGTCAGATTTCTGAGAGATTTAGCACATTGGATCATTTTCGCCATCCAATCGATAGTCTCGCGCTCGGCATCTAGGAGAGCAAGACTCAGTTCTTTGAGGTTGGCAAAGGCTAGGATCCCAAAAGTGGCGGTAGCAAATTGCGCTCAGTCACCCTTATCCCGATGGGCTCTTTTTCAATAAGTCATTAAATCTACCGAGATAGTTTCCATCGGAATGTTCACAGTAGCTATGGCTTCGAGAACAACACCAGTGGCCTCGTCAAGCGTGATGCCATCGCTGCCGGCAGATGGTGTTGTGTGAACTGAATGGCGCAGCTTAAAGGATCGGCAGTTGGATACCCGATTTGCGTGCTATGTGGGTGTCCATGCTGAAAGGGGAAGTAGGTGACTTGATAAACAAATTAAGTAGTTGGGACAAAGGATATGGGTATAGGACTAGTAGGACGAGAATGAGATAGAGACGGATGAAAGAATAGGGCGAGGAATTGGATCAAGAAGTGAGAGATGGGTGCGAGAAAGAAGGGATGAGAGGAAAGACAGAAGAGAAAAGAAGAGAGAGCGACTTGGAAGAGCAAGAAAGGACAGACGAAATTGAAGCTCCGGTGCTGTTTTAGGAAAAATGTTTATTGACAAAGCCAATATAAAAAGCAGGACATGGATCTCAATGCCCACTAGTCATCAGTCAAACTTCCAAGGCCGCTCCTCTTTTGGTCTATAAGGCATCAGACTCACATGGATTTAAATGTCCAGTTGTATAGTAGCGTTACCAGACTATGAAATAGAACAATAGCACATTATAGCTACTATTGAAAAGGGAGTCAAGATCGAAATCGATGTTACATCAAATCATATTTAGAGCGACATGAGTGAAGGCCTGGATCGTTGGGTAGAGGCGGCAAAGAGAATTAAAGCTAGATGAGCCCAACCATTTCCCCGTTATAATTTGATGCCAACATGATAATACAAAGTGATGAAAGGAAATTGAACGGTCTTTTGCCCACTGTGAAATGTCCAGTTGGAAAGGTCAAGATCTGGCTGGTCCAGCAGTTGCCAGGTTTCTTTTGCAGTGCGGGTTCGGAGACAGGAGATAAGCCCATCAACAAAGATAGTCAGAGGAGCCACAGGTAGAATGAAGGTGAAAAGGAGATGGATCGGCGACTCCCAGTACCAAACAAGGGTTACAAAGAAAGTCCAGAAGAAGACTAGAGGCGAGCATAGACAAGTCCAAAGATCGCGTGATGTGATTTCGAATATGCTAATAGGAATTGAATTAGCTCACAGAACAGACAAAATTGATAGGCTCGCAACTTGCATAAACGCGTCAGCGGTCTCAATTGCACTCTTCAGAATTCCCGCTGCATCTTCATCTCCGAAGTGGTGGAAACAAATATTGAAGACCCGACACTCCTTTTTCGAACTTGCTGCAAATCGAGGAACCGCTCGAGCATCCACCGGGCTCTCAATATACGTGACGTTCTGCTGCTTCTTCGAGATTCGCTCCCACTCTTCAATATGGGGGTAAAGATCGCTCAAAACAAACTGAACAGCGCTCTTGCCCTCGGATTCAAGTTCTTTGTTGAGCTCTGATTCGAGGACTGGCGTAGGTCCACCGGCACCAGCACAGATATCCAGAACTTTGTAGGAGGAAAGATCTTTCAAATGCTCTTGAAACACTGCACATGCCTGTTTGGCGAGGCTTCCATGGCTCCACCCGGGCACTTGAAGATTCCACAGCTGGGTGAGAACCAGTTGTTCGTGCTGGTGAAGCCACGATGGGCACCAGGTTTGATCCCCGATCTCTAAAAGGTGTGATCGAGGCCAAGAGAATAGCTGCATTATGTGTATTTCAAGATACTGACAAGAAGAGTTGTTCAGTGAAAGAATCCGAAATGAGCAGGGAAATCACTCAGTCACGTGCTGTCACACAGACTCTGGGGTCACTTTTCAAAGAAAAATTCAGCGACAGCAGGATATCTTCCGTGGGATTGCTTGATGTCTCCGTAAGGTCGTGTCTCCTTGGATATTACTTGTGGCTGCATCTGGGACAGCCTTGGGTGGTTTCCCCCGAAATCCATCACCTCTTCGGATAAAGCTTTCATTTCCAAGTTGACAAACACATCTTCGGACACGGCTTATGGATATCGTTTCACATGGACTAAACTGGAATTCTATAGGTTCATCGACACATTTTCTGCATCCGAAATGCATGGGTGGTCTGACTCGAAGTCCCCACTAGTCCTAATTTGGAACCCAGCGCAGTCCAGGGCACATCACTTTGACATCAACGGAGATCATGAAGATTATCATTGTCGGAGGAGGTCTAGGTGGCCTAGCCTGTGCAATTGCATGTCGCCGTGAAGGAATTGACGTGGAAATTTTCGAGCGATCCCCCAACGTTCACGAAGTCGGAGCAGGCATCCAAATCCCACCAAATGGCGGTAGGATAATGCGCGACTTTGGCCTTCTTTCCCAAATTCTCGAGCATGGAAGTCAAGTGCAGCAAGTAGACTTTCGAAGGTACAAGGATGGTCGTCTTCTGCGATCAATGCCATTTGGGAATGATATCACGGAGGAATTCGGTGTGCCGTGGATGTAAGTGATTGACCTAACCCTGATCTTTACAAACACTTTTACCCCATCTACAGAATTATTCATCGGATGGACTATCATCGCGTTCTTCTTGATGAAGCAATCCGACTTGGTGCGGTCCTTCAACTCGGGGCAGAAGTAGAGGATATTTACACCGAGCAGCCTGCTGTTCTTCTCGCTGATGGGAGATGTATGTCGGCAGATGTTGTAATTGGTGCTGACGGTAATTTGGTCAATCTTTTGCCATTTATGTGTCTGACTGTCTTAGCTGACAAACAAAGGTCAAATGTCTACGGTCCGAGGGGCTGTTCTTGGATCTCCTCGTTCTCCGGTGCCAACAGGCGACATGGCCTATCGGGCAACATTTTCCCGAGAGCAACTGGAGGCTTTGGGTGATAAAAAAGTAAAAGAACTGTGTCAGAAAATTGGGGTCACAAGCTGGCTGGGACCCGAAAAACACACCATTTTCTACCCCCTCCGTAGTGGAAAGGAGTTCAATCTTGTGCTCATGCGGCCGGATAACCTACCACCAAACTCTCGAAGAGAGCAGGGTGATGTTTATGAGATGCGAGATAGCTATGCCGGCTGGGATGAAACGTGAGGACCACAAAGTATTCGATTCCAATCTCCCAACTAATTTTCTTCTCGCGTTTCTAGATTACAAAAGCTAGTCTCTTGTGTGCCATCGGTATATAAATGGAAACTAACACATCTCTCCGAGCTGGAATCTTGGACCAAGGTACACCATCATGTTTTTCCAATTACGAACTTTCTAACGGGGAGCTAGGGATCTGTTGCTTTACTCGGTGATGCTTGCCACCCCACTCTGCCATATCAGGCACAAGGAGCTGCGATGGCCGTTGAAGACGGAGCAGTCATTGGCAAGCTTCTTGGCCTATTGCAGACCCATTTAATGGACCCTAGAAACTCTGGAAGCGACCCCTCGATATCAACGCGATCCACAGCTCAAGATCTCACGGCCGCTGTGCTAGCACTCTACCAAAAATGCCGGAAAGCACGTACAGCCCGAAATGTTCAAGGAGCAATCATGAATCGAAAGCTTTTCCACATCGCGGATGGGCTTCTGCAAATAATTCGGGATTTACTGTTGGGATATGCAGGAGTCACCCGGAAGAGCGATTGGACTTGGCTGTCTTCATTCCGACAGGGACAAACTCTTGGTCTAGATGTGCTGGAAGACTGTGAAAAGGTCTTTGAAGAGTGGAGATTGGCACTTTGATTGCAAATCCTGTGGTAATAGGTGTCAGCTACATGGATGATTCTGGGTGCTTATCGTCTTAATTTCAACCATTTGCTTTGAAAGGGTTCAAGATGAGTGAATTTTCTTGGTCCATCAGATGGTGTATATCCAATTAATCTCATCTCCATCCCATGTGAACTCCATGAGGGGTATTGGATGGCGCTCCGGGGGGAAAAAGGCTTCTACATGGAGTCGAACATTTTTGGCTGTGTTGAGTCTTTTCTGGGGACTGAAAGGGGTTTCGCTGCCTTGTTGATATGTCAAAAACGAAATAAGTCCAAGTCTCCATGTCCATCTCGAATGTTTCAATGGTTGTGGAGAGTAGGGAACATTTTCGAACAATGCAACAAGTAGAGATGGTGAGAGAAGAGAGATCAGACCAAGGCAGGAGCCTCAACAGCTTCACCTCTCTGTATTTATCTCGCACCATATCAAGTCTTACCTTATCACAAGACACGCTCGGTATTCCCCGGTTCTCTCTCTTCCCTCAGCAGATTATCTATGAAATCTACGACACTATCTACCAACATAGGTAGCACAGCCCCCGGGTCTCCGGTAAGGGAAGATATCATCCGGACCAAGAATTGCCAACTTATGATTCCCTCCAATGGCGATAATATTACACTAGCTCTAACCCTCCATAGGGCTACTCGTATACTACACCCATCACGCTTCCAACCTCTCGGTGCTCTCAAAACGGCGACACAACTCAGAGAATCAATTTCGAATCCCAGCCACGAGGAGAACATCCACTATGTGACATTCATTCAGACACAGCATGCCTTCGAGTCTCCATCAGCCAGCGGGCAATAGACAGGGCTCAACTGTCATTTCGCCATATGACGCATAAAAGCACATAACTAGGATGATCTTAGGGTCTTCCTAGGAATCTAGTATTCTGACAAATCTCCCGTATTTCCAAACAAGGATTGCAATCGACGCTTGCTGCATTGTCCAAAGCTGTCGAGCTCCATCACAAACCCAGCACATACAACTAGCGGCTCTCGTAGTCCACTGTAGATCTCGCAATCTCCGCCGCAAATTCTTACTCGACGAATGGTACACATTATCACTTGTGACATTCAGAAACTCCGCCTTGTCGGAGTATCGGCACAAAGTACTGAATTCTACTTCCGTTTCACTACCACAGCACCGCCAACAATTCTCGCCATCTGGCATCTACAAACACCCACTCTCATCTTCCTACATAGTACCATCAAAGCCAAACCCAATGCTGGAAGCCCATCGAAATATCCAAAAGTCTAGATAAACTATAGCCCAATTATAGATTCAAAAATCTAAGCCCCCTCTCTCATCCCAACCAAAATACACCCAGCACCCATCATTGCAGCACCTAGCCACCAAAGCCCCCCAACAGCCTCCTGAAAAATGATCATACCAAACACCGCCGTCGCCAAGAAGTTTGACGCCGTATTCGTGATGGAGACTTTGACCGTCGAGGGACCGGCTGTTAGCGCGCGTGTAAAGAGTGCCCACATTATAATGTTGCAGAGGACGTTTAGCCCGAGGCAGGCCTGCGGATATAGATGTCAGTCAAACATGTGTATTGTAATAAATGGATTAAAATTCGACACGGACTTGAAATGTATCCGGCATAGTCCAAATACAAAGAAAAGGGAGATTTAACATACACCCCGAGTAAGCATCTCAATTACAGGCGACGAATCCAGACCGAAGAGGTGGGCGAGTGATTGCGCGAAGGCCGTCGTGTGTTCGTCCGTGGTTCTGTGGAACGTTCCAAGGTTAACTTGGTTACACAGATCGTGTAGCTTATAGCTTATATGTGTAGCTTGTATGTACAGCATGGCATTGCTTCGAGCCTTAGTTATAGGGTGGATGATCCACGTACAATTTCGCGAAGACACCGTTCAACGCAGCGAAGGCGCCGCTCGTTATCGCGAGGATGATCCAGGGGGATGTGGAGGATTGAGGGATTGATTGGGGCGTTGAGGTGGACATGGCTGCGGTTAAGATATGTAGACCCGGTGGTTTACCTGACTCTTTAATATAGGATGGTAGACTATTTCCAAGTAGCGCAGGATTCACGGACTAATGTTCTAAAGTGATGTTGAAGGAGTTCGCGTGCCAAGACTGATAGTGATAAATAAGGATAAGATTGGCTGATATGGATGATCGACGCGAAACATCACATACATTGTACAGCTCAAACAGCGATGGTGCAATTGAAATGCTAAGTACAATAACAGTATTTATGCAATGGCTCTAAATTTACCACTATGGCGACAGTCTCTGAACCCGCCACTTAGTACCCTCTCCCTCCCCATTAACACGCACATACCGGAACCGATCATGCAAACGACTCCGCCGTCCCTGCCAGAACTCCACAGACTCCGGCACAAGCCTAACACCACCCCAAAACGGCGGCAGTGGAATATCCTCAACACCCGCAAACCTCTCCTCCATCGCCTTCACCCTCAGCTCCAGCAACGCCCGACCATCCTCAACATCCGTCTGATCAATATCCACAGGAACAGTCTTACCCCCATCAACCGCCTGCAATTTGACTACACTCTTCCGTCTCTGGTTCTCCTCCATCTGCTCCGGCTCCGCAGACCACAAAACCCGACTCTGCCAACTCGCCCATCCCCCAATCCGACTCCCGCGCTCACGCGTCCGCCAATACAACTCACTCTCCTCGCGACTAAGTGGCTCAAGTAAACCCTCAACGCGAACCTGCCGCTCAACAGTCGCCCAGCTGAATGTCAACGCGCCCCATTTATTTCCAGACCCGACGTCGGCAGTGATGGTAGCTTGCTCTGAGCCCGGTTCTGGCATGGCGTCTAGTATATCGGCGTTCTCGCTAAGCCCGAAGACCTGTCCGCCTTTGCCTTCGCGACTCCCCCAGTTGCTGTATACGACCCAACCGCGCTCGTCGAGTTCTTTGAGGTAGACCACGCGCCCGCTGACACGGCCGGATGGTAGCGACGCAGTTGATAGAGTGCATGTTTCTGGGGCGGAGGAGGCTGAAAGCCGGGGATCCCGGAACCAGGTGTTGAATTGGTGGAGTGGGTTTGTGCCGTGAATTTGGGAGATGGTTAGAGGTGGGTTTGTGCCGAATTGGTGGGCGCGTGCGGCGTTGGAGAGGACTTCGGTTTCGGTTATCGAGTCCGGGGTTGAGGTTGAGGTGCGTAGGGCTTCTATTGCGGTTGGGGCGGGGGTTGCTTGGGGTTGCGGTTCTGGGGTTGGCTCGTTGGAGGTTGGTGCAATGTCCCCAGGAGCGACTTGGGGGGATTGGTATGTTAACGTGACGTCTGGGTGGGGGAGCGTTTGGCCAAATCGTTGTGCAGGGATGGTTTGACATGTAAACTTACAGATGAGCTTCTTCGGACGCCGGGGGGCGTCTGTCTGATGTTCGTTTGGATCCATTGTTAGTTTGCGATTGTTGGGTTGGTTGGTTGAGCAGTGTCGAAGTTGGCGGGGTTGGCGGGGAACAGTGCGGAGGAATGAGTCAACGGCTGAACGGCAAGTGAAGTGTAAACGGGCCTGCATTAAGATGGTGGACGGAATACGTGCAATGCCTCAATTGACAGGGATTTGAAGAGATAGAGCTAACCTCCAGGAAGTACAACATACAACATACGTTGCAAGTTCCGGATTAGGAATTCTAGAAAAGAGATGTCTTGGTCTCAGCGGAAACTCCCGAGACGTCATGCCATTCTGTCGGAGAACCACCTTGGAATCTATAAAAGGAAATACACTGGATTACAGAACAGATTTTGACTCATTCACTTTTTTGCATTTTTGGATTTTTGCGTCGATGACGCAGTGGTGGAGTTGAGATGTATCTATGGACCCAAGAAAAATCACAGTGGTATACAGTGCTTCAATGCACGACGCCCTTTTTCATCGCCAAAATAAACGCCGAACCTTCGCTGGATGCCAAAATTTATAAAAAAAACAAAACCAAACAAATAGATATCTCACCAGGTATATCCAACTGCCGCACTGCAGACGCCGAACTGAATAGATCCCAACACAGGGATCCAGCCCTGGCAGAGAGATTGTAGGGTGCAACACAAATTTTAAAATGGGCATCACCTGGTCACAAATACGGGCAAGGGAATTTATGAAGAGGCAGAAGCTCCACCGATGAGATCGACGATCTTACCGGCCACCGCAGAGGGGTAACCGCGTGACATCATCTCCTGCACGACTGTGGCGGCACTGACTCGATCATCAGCGCCCAAGAACGCACGAGTCATCGCTTCGTAGGTGCTGGGCTCTCGCTTCTGAATGCCGATGCTGTCGTAGATTGCCTTGGCCTTGGACACGTTACCCTCGGCGGCCCAGCCGTGGATCAGAGTGTTGGCAATGTAGGCGGTCATCTCGACCTGGCGTGCGAGCAGGTCCTGGACGACTTCCTCGGTATCGGCGACGCGGTGGTTGGCGACCATGGACTCGAAAAGAGCTTGGTAGAGGCATGGCTGAAGGCGTACACGGCGGTCGGAAACAACGGTGTCGAAGACTTTGCGTGCGCCCGCGAGGTCGTGCAGGACGCAGCCCTTGGCGTGCACTAGCGAGGCGTAGTGCACGGCATCGGGCTGGTGGCCTGCCGCCTTCATGGATTCCAGCACGGCTTCGGCGGCGGCCATGTTCACCGGCTCCAGGGAGGCGTGTGCGTCAATGAGAAGCTTGTAGGTGTGGAGGGTCGGCTGAATGTTGCGGGCCTGCATGCGCTCGTAGTAAGCCAGGACTTTGCTGATGTCACGCTTGGTGTTGAGGAAGTACTGGATCATGGAATTGTAAGGCGCGGGGCGCGGCTTGTAGTTGGGCATGGACTCCATCTCTTCGAACATCTCCTCGGCGAAGCGCTCGTCGCTCACACGGCAGAGAGCATTCACAATGGTTCCGTAGGTGACACTGGTCGGGCGCACGTTATTGGAACGCATCTCGGCGAAGTACGCAAGGCAGTCGTCAATGCGACGAGCCTTGCCCAGCTTGCCAATCAGCGCATTATACAGGAAGGAAGTGGGCTCCACACCTTCAGCGATGGCACGGTGGAAGATCTTGAGAGCCTCGGTAGCCTCGTCGAAGGTCTTGGTAGACTCCTTGAGGGAGGTGATGTACAAGCCGAAAGTGTTAGCCGAGGGTGCAGAACCAAGAGTGAGAAGGTCCTGGTGGTACTGAGCAGCCAACTTGCGGTCGCCAAGGGTGAGACAAGCAGCAACCATGGCATCAAGGATGGAGACCCAGCCGTATTTGACGACGCTAAAGTTCATATCGAGGGGCACATCGGCCCGTGCCATACTATGGATGTCGTGAGCCAGGGTCATGCGACCGGCCTTGGCCGCGGCGGTAATCAGCTTAGCGTAGGTGATGTAGCGCGGGTGACGACCAGTGCGGCGCATGTTGTTCAGACGAGTCAGAGCCTCGTTGAGGTGAGTCTCGATGCGCCCGCTAGTCTTCTCAAGCTCCTCGGCGATGATGGCGGATCCGCGGAAGTCGGTCGCGTGAGCATAAGGATCAAACGATTCGGGGGCCGCAGAGGGGGTGGTGATCGAAGTCTCCGCCATAGAGACGGGGCTTTGGCAATCAGACGAAAGGAACATCCGAGAAGGCGAAACGGAGGTCTGGGAGCTCGCTTCCAGGTAATCTTGCCACTTCTTGACGACATCAGGGCGACTGACAAAGAGTTTGCCAACAGCCTGGTCAACGAGACCAGTGGTGTAAAGGTCCAGAGGAAGGGCAGAAGACAAAGCGACATCAAGCATGTGGGCAAAGCGAACGGGATGAGCGACATCGAACAGCATGGGGCCGCTGCTGATCAGCATGCCAGCCTGGACTTGGAGCGCCAGGTTAAGGTCGGCAGCCTTGAGCTGGGAGATACCGATGGGGCCCAGGTTGGCGACAGCGTGCTCGGCGAGAGGAGACACTAGACCACCGTTCTCTAGCATGGACCACAGCAGAGTCATGGATGATTGAGGGGAGAGAATCGCGGCCGACTGCATGAGGACGCGACCGAAGAGATGAAGTGACTCAGTAATCTGTTCTCTGACGGGGTTGGCGACGGCAGCGTGTTGATCTTGGGTGGTGTTGCGGATACGCTTAAACATATTGCGGGCCTGGTGAAGACCTTCCTCGATATTTCCACTCTTGAGCAGAGCGACCGCATACATAGCGGTCGGCTGGACCAGATCCGGGGTTGCCTGACCCACCGTGTTCAGCATGATCCATAAGGAACGGGCAGCGGAAACATTGCCCCGGCGGACATGAAGGGCCAGTAGCGAAATGGCTGGGTTCTGTCGTACGTCAGGGGCAGTGGGCAGACTATCGTAAGCTTCAGAAGCGGTGGGGAGATCACCCGCGTCGGCTGCAGCAATACAGATGCGGGAGATGGCATGATTCCGAGCTTCATCATGCAACCGATTCTTAGCCTGCTCCAATGCCATGCTATGGTCTCCCATGTTGAGCGAGTGTTGCACTAGTGCATCCTCGACAATCACAGTTTCTACTGCAGACCATCGGTCCTGGCGACCTTCGGTTACCTCATCGAACGACGAACGGATCCGATCAAGGAACTGGGTGGCGCCCTCCTCTTTACCACAGGACAGATAAGCACGGATCAACGCAGCATAGACCTGGCCATCCTGGCGCTGAACGATACTGAAGACGCCGTTGTCATCGGAGACTGCGAGCCCTCGGTACTCATTGTAACATTCCACGGCACTCCTGAGATCACCAGTGGAAGCAAATGCGGTGATCATAGACGGGAAGATAGTTGCATGCGGAGTCATCTTCTGCGATTCCATATGGGCGTAAATTCGGATCATATCCTCCACCTTGCCTTCCTTGGCACAGGCAATGATTAAGTGACGGTACGTCTCGAGCGGGAACACGAGTCGGTTGTGTCGCGCGGTGGCGGTATCAAAGAGCTTGACAGCAATGGACAGAGAAGTATCCTCAGCGAGAAGATCCCGTTCCAATTCACTTGACTGAAGCATGAATTTGCCAGGCTCTTCCATGCCACCGAATCGAACGCGTTCCTGCTCTAATACCTCTTTGGCCTTTATGATGTCGTGAGCCCGGGTGACCAGAAGATGAACCAGAGTCTCATAGGTATCTTCATCGGGAATTACCCTTCGACGAAGCATATCAGAGTAGACATCGAGGGCCTTGGGGATGGCCTGGACTGCATCAGGGTGAAGACGGATGGCAGCGACCAGCAGAGCATTATATGCCACGACAGTCGGAGTGTATCCCTCTCGGAGCAGAGTTTCGAACGCGACGGGGATTTCTGCGAACTTTTTGGATTTGGCCAGTTGCACGATGCGGTCCGACGCAATGTGGTTGGCTTCAGACACCTCCGAAACGACATCCTCAACCATCGGTTCGACACTCGCTTCCACTCCCAGCGCAGCCTCCTCGGCCTGTGCCTGTTCCTCCTGGATCCGAATCTCACGAGCCACGGCCTCCTCCACTTGCGCACTAACATCCTCATTCACGGCAGCCTTGGTAGGATGAGGGGGAGATAGATCGGACGCAGCTCGGTCTTCGTTAACGTTGTCAGCCTCCTCCGTTGGCTTCCAGCCAATACGGCGCCTGAACTCGAACTGAGTCCAATCGCTGTCATCGCCAGTCTGCTGAGCGTTCTGCCATGCGGCGTAATAGGCCGCTAGACCCACATCTCCATTTCCAGATCCTCCCTGGCTTGTCTTGGCGCCAGCGCCGGAGGAACTGGACGCATTGGCGAAAGCATTCTGTAACTGAGTTGTGCGGGAGAATTTGGCAGGCTGAGCAAGCGGGTTAAATGGGGTTGTCGACGCGTAGGACTGCGATGCGGCGACTACGGATTGAGCATAGCCGTGAGTGAAGGCTTTTGTGAAACTCTGGCGTGCGAGGTGGGTGAATGGCTTGAAAACCATTTATCTGATGGGGTAACCTCTTTAGTAGAAAGAGGTGATGCTGGACCCAAGTTAGTGTGCATAATTCATTCTCACGTGCCTGTTTCCATACCTTGCACTCAAGATAATTATCAAAAGTGCAGGTTCATTTGACGACCGTCTGTCGCCAATGAACGCGCAAAATGCAAGATTAAGAGAGTAGTATTAAAAAGGACCTTTTAACAGGGCCCGAAAAAAAAAAGTTGTGTGAAGGAAAGGAATGTTAGCCCTGAAAAACACGAGCGAGGGGGGCCAACTCATAATATTCCCGACTTCTGGAAGGTGATAGACTCTCACCGTGGACCAGTCGGTTAGGGCCGATCTTCTCCGGAGAATCCTCTAGGCAACTCCGCTTCAATCTACGGCAGCATTTGATTCCTTCGATTTCCCATGTGTTTTGGTGTTAGCGAGGTGTTTGTACTGGTACATTCATGCATTGTATCTGGCATATCAGATCCTCCTTGTAGGCGTGGGGGGAGGGAGGTG